AATATAATGATGTATTAATTATAAATGCAATTTTTTTGCTTTGATTGAATTAACGTTTTGATTGTTTAGGTTTTGGGTGTTTGAGCTTGTTCCATTAGAGAATTTGGTTTTTTTCATTAAACGAATTTAAATACAAACGAAAATAAATATTTTCAATATAATAGATTATTTAGTCAAACACAGCGCCTTATGATACTATATACATTCATATCCATTTCATGCATATGTGCTAAGTTGAATAATTATTGTCTTACATATGCATTTCTAATATTCATACAAAATAGTAATCATGATCAATTTGCAAAAAACATTAATCTGTTTTAAATTATTTTTGTAACATGATAGACAAAATTATATTTTATGCGAATGTAGGTTCTAGCTTACATAATTTTTGTATTTCTCCAATTAAAAATAATACCTTTATATTTTTAGAACCTTCAAATCTAGCGTTTAAATTTTCATTCAAATGCTCATAGAAGCAGTAGAAAAAGCGCATTTTATTCAAAACTTGCAATTAGAGTGATTATACAAGCTTATTAGAATATTATTTTTACAACAAGGTACTACATGCATATATTTATAAGCGGTCTGTCGGATTAACATGCTTCATGAAAGGTGGTTCTCTATGTAATTGTAATACATTGCGGAAAATAGAAAAATTCAACTCTTTAGAATTCAATTCACATGATAAATATAGAAAATCTTTGTGTCATTAAAAGTTCAGCCTGTAGACTGCATTTTCACCTACGTTTGAGACTTCTGGTTATTTTTAATAAATTTTTCAAATGATATAAATTTTCTATCATTTTTTTTTCATTTCCAAAAATTAATCCTTTGTTACACTAATTCAACAACCCCCAATTACGAGTAATTTGGATATAAAAAATTTATCACATCATTACAATTTCCAACTTTGGCATTAATTCAAAAATAGTAAGATCATGAGATTGTTTTATATTCCTAGAATGAAATAAAGTAAGTACAGTTAAAAAGTTTGAATATAATCTCTTTATAGCTTTATATATTTATTATATCTTGTGGCAATTTCTTTGAAACTACTCTGAATTCCATCATAAAAGCGTTGGCGTGCTCCATAATAGAAAACTACCGTGAGAAAGCAGTGTGATGAAGCAATTTTCTTAGTGAAAGAATGCAATATTTTGAAATACTACGCAGTTGAAATTTGTAAGAACTAAATATAAAATCAATAAGCTTTTTAAAGTCATTTGTACTATAGGATTTTTCATGTCTTCTTTATTATTTTTAATTCATTTTATTTGAATGATGATTCACGGATCTTTCATTCATTTATTGTTCTGCCTTCCTATAGGGTGTAGACAGGAGATTTTTCTCAATTCAGGCAGACGTTAATATTATAATCCCCACGTATATTGGAAAGTAGCAGCTGTCGACCATTTTTAATTCTGAACATATCAATACAGCATGAAGGACATTAGAGCTGGAATACCCAGTGCTAATGCGGATTTAATAATTTATCTGGACACCAAACTGTACTTTTATCTGAGGAAGAAATTAAGAACTACTGATAAAAACTAGCTTGAAAGTTTTTAAATGTCATGCAGAAAAATCGAGAAAATTGAACTGAGAATCGTAGACAAGATAACAAAAATGAATTTCAATATAAGAAAAAAAAATCGTTATTGACCCTCTATATATCCTTGTAACTTTTTGATTCCATTCCAAATTTTTCGACATTCTAGCAAATAATTATGGCTTTCTTCGTCAGATGATGCATAAATCTTAATTCTATAATATTGGTAAAACAGCCAATATCTATTTTTCTGATCTTTGCTAGGCTTTTCAAGCTGAAATAATATTTCTATATACCGAAGTGCAAACCCTATAGGCTGTTGTGATTTGAAAGCCGCATAATTCAGAAATTCCAGAAAAATGTTTAATCAAATTTTTAACTTCCCGTAGAGTAGTTATAATAATGGGCCGAAAATCGAAAATGAAAATTTTTGCATATCTTCACGTTTTGAAGGTTTCTGAACATTTTGGCATACCTCAGAAAAAATGGATGTGTGGGTTTTGTGTGTGCATTGTTTCGTCGACGTTTTCGGGCGCACGGATCAACCGATTTGAATAGTTCAAAAAACATTCGATTTCTATTGACAGTGAGATGTGCTGATTAGTTTTTGGCAAAGGCCGGTCCAGCCGTTACGGAATACATAGCAAAGAGTGCAGAAAATAGTTTTTGAGAGAACGGAGCATCCGATTTGCATGATCTAAATAACATTCAATTCGTAATGGTGGAGAAAAGAGGTGATTAGTTTTTGGCAAAGACAGGTCCGGTCGTTTCAAGATACGGAGCTAAATGTTCAAAAAAATGCTGTTTTTGAGAGAACGAAATATCCGATTTGGATGATTCAAAAAGCTTTCTGTTTGTGTTGGTAAAACAATTGCTTTTGGATTTTTTTTTCAAATTTTTGTTTTTGTATTTCGAAAATAATTCAGATTTCAATATTAACTCTGGTTAAAGTTCTAAAGCTCACTTATATACTTCAAGTGAATAATTTCAACTTTGTAATAATAATTTCAACTTCATAATAATTCTTATAAATATTATACAATGTTACAGTACTTATAATAATCTATATTAAAACATTTAATATTCCTAGAACATTTTGTTACGGTGCGGGTATTTCCAGCAATTTGCCTTAAGGCACTATGCCATACACCTCTAGTTTCATTTGTGATTTGCATCAAAAATGCTTATGATAATTGATTTTTTGTTCCCTAATTTTTTTGGATGTAAAACAAATACTCGACTCGTAGAGTAAGAATAGAATAAAATTAGAGAGTGTCTCTACATCATTTGCAATGCAAAATTTTACACTGCCTCCAATGCTATCAAATACTAGTAAAATCTAATTCTACATCAAGTACATTTATTTAAACAGTATCTATCAACTCGGATTAATTCAATTAAAAAATCAACATCCTCGAACTAGTTCATTCTTCGCATCCCTGATAGACAGTTTGACGTACACTTTTAAACATGTCGATCGATTTAACCTTAACCCAAGCAAAGGGATGGCAGAATAATATATAGCATAATATGGGTCAATAAAAGTAGGCTTGTGTATTAAGATATAAAAAGTATGGTTTCGTTTAGGCGGTGATAATAATTAGGTTTTTAGAACTTGCGCTTTGTAAGGTGGCCATATTTTTTTTTAAATCGAAACTGGGACGGCAATTTTTTGTCAAGGGGGGGGGGAGGTGGTATTATGTTAAATAACTTGAATATGATTTTAAAATGATGAATACTATACTATATTTAGGATGCTATAAAAACAGTTACGTAAATGATTTTTTTTGTATTTATAACGTATTGTTTCAAATAAGTATACTCGTTGTATGTATTATTTTCAGATATTTGATAGCAGTAATTTTTTTTATCAAATAATTGTAGAACTCAATTTGAACCTATATATTTGCAAACACCTAGGACAATCCAGGACAAAATCAACAAATCCTGGACAAATATTGCTTTTAGAAAAACCCGGGACACAAGGTGAAATCCGGGACTGTCTCGACTAAACTGGAACGTATGGTCACCTCAGCTTTTAGTAAATTTAATATATTTGGATTCATGGTCATCTCAGCTTTTGGTAAATTTAATATATTTTGATTCATGGTCATCTCAGCTTTTGGTAAATTTAATATATTTTGATTCATGGTCATCCCAGCTTTTGGTAAATTTAATATATTTTGATTCATGGTCATCCCAGCTTTTGATAAATTTAATATATTTGGATTCATGATCACCTCAGATTTTGGTAAATTTATTACATTTACATTCAAAGTAAACCTATGAACAGATTTTACTCACACTCGTACATACATTTTCATTGTTTTGTTGAGCCTCTAATAAGGAATCCAATAGTAATAAAATCCAGTAAGTTTTTAGGAAAAATTGTTTGTTGTCAACGTTTTCGAACTTTGTACGTTCTCCATTTTCGGGACGTCTGACAAGAACATGATCTTGATTAGAAGATAAACAAACAAAACTATTATTATATAGTACTAGATATATATTATTATTAGTGTGTTCATCTTCTGATCAAGATAATGTTCTTGATATGTCCTGAAGATGAAACGTACACAATAGTTACTATTTTGCTTTTTTTATTACCATTGGGTTTTTTATTCGAAGCTCAACACAGCATTCTCAAATCTAAGCTCAATTATCTCTTATATTCTTCTTAAAATTCTTAAAAAATTACAAGCCTAAATTGAGAATTAACTATACTAAATCTAATGGATCTACTCTTCTTAGTCTCCTGATAGTGTTTGCAGAGAGTAGGTTCTAAGTCTCAATTAACAAATTTATTTATATGTATTTCTTTATTAATTTTAATACTGATTTTATGTATATGTTACATAAAGGTACTTGACAAATTTTGAACTATATGCACACATACAGATTGTCTACATAAATATGGATATATGCCGAATATACATTTGTGTATGTGTGGGTAGCGAACATGTGCGGTTGGCCCATATATACAAAATACATAGGAAAACAGCTTGAACAGCCAAATATTGATTTCGGAGGTCAGTGAAATGCTGGATTCGAATATGCGAGGCACTGAATGATTATTATCTATGTATTTAAACAATCATGTAAAGAATCAGGAATAAGAACATGAAAAATTCTACATATGCACAAATTGCTCTTCATGTAAGACATAAACACCTAGTATCTTGGTCTTGATGAATGGTTTTGACGAGTTGCTGGAACCTATGGTGTACGACAATAATACAGATCGATGGAAGGTTGAAATTATTAATTAATAATGTGTCGATAGTATGTTCTGCAAGGTCGCAGCGTGAAAAATAATACAAGGAGGGGGTTGTGTTCGATGGAGCATAAATACTTAAGAACCCTTTGACGATCACATGTCTGTTGCATTTTGACAACTGTCATTGACAAAATCGATTAAATTTTTAATATTTATTATTAATCCACTTACGGTTAGAAGGATGAAATCTGTTTTGCAGTCAGAGAATTATCGATTGTGTCTAGGCACTTCTCTCCTGGAACGCACACACGCACGAACTTGTCAAAAATCTGTTCCGTAGGACGTCTTTAACCGATTATCCCGGCACACCACTACACTTCGTAATCATAGGTCGATTGCAAATTACTTTTTACGCGATAATAATTAAGTTTTTTATTCTGAAGTCGATTTGGCCAAAACCTATCGGGTAGGAAATCACAGTTGACTCAATTCGCGTTCTGCGGACTGTCTTCTTTCTAAGTACAGAATAGTCCCCTGAGTGTTTCCAATATGGCTGATAGTGTGTTAGAGCGTAAGTTTCGGTTTTCCCCGACTTTTCACGAAGCTGCGTTCGGCCGAGTGTCATGTGGTGCCGCCATGCGCTCGCAGAGAACACCACGGCCGACTCCGATACGATTATTGATTTTATGATGTTCAAGGATAAGGCGACTCCGGAGTCGCAGCGCTAGCGACTGCCATCGGCCGTAGGCGTATTGTCTGCCATGGGTGCGCTCTCCGCGTGCTCATTCAGAGATCGGACGGATCAACTCTATAATGAACGCAGCAAAAAAAAAAAAAAAAATGAGACATTTTGTTCAAATTGATAAACTTTCGAGTTATTTTAGTAAAATATATTAGTAAAACTAGTGGAGCGCATGGAATCGTGTCTTAAGACAAATTGTTGGAATTTTCCGTACCAGAATTAAATATTCGAGACAAACAAAATCAGTAATCAGAGATAAATTTTTTTGCTCAGTAAATATTGATCAAAAATTAAAAACTATTAGTTCAAATATTTTTAAATACATAATTATAAATATTATACATTTAATCGCTCATATATTATATAGCGACGATTTTATCGCACAAAATACTTGAATGTTTACATAAACGAAATATGGCGAATAAGTCGATCAGAGATATATTTCTTATGATCAGAATAACACATATGAAATATATTCATTTTAAAACTGTATTGTAAATTGAAAATTTATATTTAAAGTATGAAACTTAGTATGTTTTTGAAAATTTTGAGAAAAAAAACTAACCATGGATATTGCCACCATTTTTCAAAATTACAAAATAAATAAAACAGATTATTATCCCGAGTTCCACTGTAGACTAGTATCATTTCTACAACAGGTGTATAAATTACAAGTTAGTATTCTGTAGTAAATTATTTAGTTTGCATTTTGTACTGTTTTTTTTCTGGAATCTTGTTTGCACTTCGTAAATAATAAATAATCTTTTTTCTAGAATATTGTTTCAACCGTAACTTTAAAAAATTAAAATTGGTACGGAACCAAAACAAATTGTAACAAAATTAGTATTCATTTTAAAAATATCTAATAATTTAATGTGTATATGCCTAATGATTATTTTTGACCATCAAATATCATTTTTTTTCCACTTTTTTCTGTATTACCTCCGAAACTGCTGGACTTGCCTTCCCAAAAACTTGATCAATTCATTTTTACAATCAAGTTTATTATGACTTAGAATGGGTCAACATCTATTTTTCATACCCGTATATGATAAGAGTTGGACGGGCAACCTTAAGATTTTTTCCTTCTTTTTTTTTTAACTTTTTGGTCCAATTTTATTTATTTTTTATAATTTGTAATTATAAAATATGTACACTCTTAAATTTTTATGATCTTACCTCAAACTTCAATATCGTAACAGTCATTTAAGTAAACGAATCATTTTTCTCTAAATGCACGAAAACATCCGACTAGTAATAAATTTAATAAAAATATCTTAACATACGATTTAGAAGCAGATTTTTTTAATTATCATAAACATTTTACGGTTAAGAAGTTTTATTTAAAATATGTTAAATGAATTGTATAAATTTTAATAATACAATATTGTTTACAATATAATTCTAATTCTAATGGAATAACTATAAAAATAAGCGAATTAAATTAAAGATATCATCAAATAAAATTTTAACTATCTTAAATAAGATAAACGAGATTATTGAAAGATTACACCTGATGTGAAAAAATTTAGGATTTGTCGATTATATTTGTTAATACAAGATAAAGATCATTTAGATGTTTAAATATAGAACGAAATTATTATAAAATATTTGAACCATCCATAGTTTTATCAGTATAACTTGTTGTTTTTATACTACATCAGTTGAGATGTATGGCATTTGTTATATTTATTTATCGATTTTATATGTACTATTTCGCTTTTATGGAATATTTCTGAAAATAGTTTTTTCATGAACAGTGGAGTCCTCTTTATATTTATTTAAGTGTGACCAGATTTACATTTGATTTGAATGGTGACATTGGTACGCTGAGAATCAACTAAATGTTGGCGGAGTATTTGATTTGAACACAATTGCATTGATTATAGTAACACACTACTTGAAAATAATTATTTTTAAGATGAAAAGTTTATTATGAACATTATTTCGTATTTACGTATAAATGTTATATAAAATATATAAAAGAACACAAACTAAATACTATATATCTAATGTTATGTTAAATTGTATTGTGTATATCTTAATTTTTGGGTTAATAATACTTTTGTTTAATTTAAAATTAATGTCACCGAAAATGTTCTGAAGCATGCAATTGATTTCCACTAAATATTTGATGACCTGATCGTGGGTATATCTAGTTTTAGATTTTAGGGTCGTTGCCTAGATTGAGCGAACATGTCGATGTTGTAGCAGAGGTGACGCTATTTTTACTAAATCTCATCGAAAATTTAACGTCAATGTATAAAATATTTCTCTTGTATTAAAATACGATCTAGACATTTAAAATGTTATATTATGTACAATGTTATAAACTATATTTAGTCTTCTTATATATACGAGTATCTCGTATCACCATAACAAACAAGTAATATTTTTATATTCCATGCTTTGTTGCAAAAAAAAAAACGTTGAAAATTATATATATATATATATATATATATATCTGTGTGTGTGTGTGTGTGTGTGTAGGTATATATAATATGAGAATCTTTTTGCTTTTAATATGGCACGCACACAGTTGTGAATTATTGATATACTAATGGCTGCATCTAGAAATAAAAGTGTAAATCAAAAAAAGTATTTTTAGACTGTATCCGCCCGTGGAAAATATTGCATTTATTGTGGATATAAAAGTTGTTAATAGAAGACTTTAATATAATTATCAATTACCAAATGATAGGATTTGTTTAATATATTAAATGAATGCAACATATACTGTTAATTTGCAGCTTCCTAAAATTAAAATTTATTACTCCATCGAACACTAGTATGTATTATAAAAACAAAACTTGTGTGATAATGTTTATTTGTTGTAATTTTTAACAACGCAGTCGTAATTTGTAAATTTACTACAGCAAATATGACAATACTCACAATTAGTAAATATAATTATTAAAACTAAATAGAATTGCACTTTTAGTTTAAAAATATTTATTAAATCATTAAAAATATGTATGTCCGACGTTTTAAGTCATTCTGAATTGTTTGAATCAAATGTATGTGTTGTGCTTGTCTGTATATGAATGCAAGTTCTTTTCAAACGGTTTCAAAAAATTTAAGTAATAATTGCTAAGGAAAATGCCACTTAAAACTGATTTAGTTTAAGAACTTGTACATTTAAGTTTTTTGACATGTCAAAATGTATATTTTTTATAATTTTCTTTTATATATATTTTAAAATGTAAATTTTGTATAGAGATATACTAATAATAATATGCGTCGTCGGTCGATGATTTTACACCCAATTTCTTGATTTGATATTATTACCCATAGATTATGAATCATGATGATACCATGATGAATCATGGATGATGATGATCATTTCAAGTGAATTTTAAAAAAAATCTGTTCATCGCCATGAGTTTCATAGCATACTAATGATATTTTATACCAGATTATGAAATAAATGAATCAGTAAAATTTTATTCAGTATTCTGCATTCTTTTACTCTTAGTCGTAAAAATCTTTTACTTGCAATACGTAATAGAAAAGATTGGGTTACTTGAAGTTCTTATTTTTTCCCTCGTTTTTTTAGTATAATACTAAGTATTTTGCTACTCTACAATCCTGATTGAATGCGCTAACTTTTGATGAAACTTCCCAACACACCTTTGTATATTTTTTTAAAGGAGGGCCCCTCAAAGTTGACCGATTATAAAAATTTTAAATTTATATTACAACAAAAAGTCTCAAGTCTTGAAAACTTGAGGTATTTGTGGTATTTTTTTTACTGTGGTCCTAGAAATGTTATTCACGGTTGGGGTTCTGAAGTTTAAATGAACAAAATTAATAAAAGTTAACTACATTAACCCAGTTAACTGCATTAAATGGTCAGAGCTTTACCAAAGCTCTAGGTTGCACTTAAAAGCTCATCATTTCCAAACATGAGATTTTTTTTTCTTCTTTTTAATCTTTCTTTTGAATTTTCTTGTTCCTAGGGGCTCAAATGCTTCTAACTTGATAAAAAATAATTCTGTGGAAGATTTAGCTCTTAATATTAACTTTAAGATAGTCCGCACTCCAACTAAAGTTTCCATGAAATTAACATAGGTAAAATTCTATTTGTTTTATACCTTAGCGACAAGTGAATCCAAATTTTGAGAATAACTTTGTATTTGCTTATTTTGATCATAAATGAAAAAATAGAATAACATTTTGATATATTTCATAAAATAAGTATTTACTTAGGAAGAAGAACCAAGAATATATATTTTACACATGTATATACAAAGAAATATATTTGTATTATAATATTGTCTAGTCGATTACGATTGCGAGCTTTTATAACAAACAATATCTTCTGTATTAGATTTACTCAAGGCACGTAATATCTATGTTTTATGATAACAGTAATTTTTCTACAAACACAGCTTTTCAAATAACTGTCAGATTCTGTTCATAAAACTAATGAGACCATGATGGTTCGCTATTGGCTGTTACATTGTTTAGATAGCAATGCCTCGGTTATTAATGATTTAGTATATAACCGATAATAAGGAATTTTATTACTGAGCTTCTGCTACAACGCTGTTATTGTGTATCATCATCAATTATGTATTTTATTCATTGTTTTACACTTCGCCTTTGAGATACATGTAATAAATTT